ACTGAAGAGGAAAATCATTCTGGTGGCAGCATTCATTACAGACTGTAGCAGGGCAATGTGGCTTCTAGGAAGACCAATTAGGAGAGGGTTACAATAATCCATGCAAGAGATTACTAGAGCATGGACAAGCTCCTTAGTAATATCTTGCGTAAGAAAGGGGATGGAGTGGGCAATGTTTTCAAGGTTAAATCTACAGGATTTGGTGACAGACTGGATGAAAGGCTCAAAGGTAAGACCAGAGTCATGTATAATACAAAGACAGCGTGCTTGCAAGGATGGGCTAATGTGTGTATCACTAATTTGAAAGGAGTGAAAGAGGAGGATCAGTATTACGAGTAGGGAAGACAAGGAGCTCAGTTTTAGTGAGATTGAGTTTCAGAAAACGGGAGGACATCCAGTCAGAGATGGAAGAATAGCTGGTGACACGTTGTAGGACAGCAGAGGAGAAGTCAGGAGAGGAGAGATAAAATAAAAAAAAAATAAAACACTAAGCACCCAGTGAATACTATTCTAGCAACCAAGTTTCTACCCTACCCTTACTATACCCGACTCCCTCTAGAATGTAAGCTCATTTAAAGGGTAAAAACCTACTTTTCTACCCTACCCTTATTATACCCCACTCTCTCTATGATGTAAGGTCATTTGAGCAGGGCCCTCAACACCCTCTGTTCCTGTGCGTTCATGTCGTCTGGTTACAAATACGTGTCTGTTAATCCACCCATTGGATTAATCCACGCACTGCAGAAATTGTTGGCACTTTATAAATAATAATAATGTAGAGTGTACTCATCTCCCTCGAGCCTCACAGCCGTCCTTCTGCCATGCGATCCGACCGCTCCACGTGGCCGTGTGACATACTCTAGCAATTACTCACTTCCCTTAAGCTGCACATACCCTCCTCCTGCTGCGTGGTCCGACCGATCCACACAGCCAAGCGGAATGACATCTATATACAATGTTAAGCCCACTCTTAAAGTGACCACGTCATCATTGCGATCCTAATCTATTTTGAGTCGCAATGATGACGTCGACCAGTCAAAACACAGGTAAGCCTATTTAAGGCTTACCTTTTCCCTTTTAAGGCCCCTTTTCTTTGCCCTACTGTGCTTTCTTGTTAGATCCTTGTTTAATGCTCCTAGAGATTCCCTTGTGATTTCCTGTGTTTGACATCGACTTTGTATTTGACTTGAGATTTTCTAGTATCCTGACCTGGCTTCGTATTTGACTCGTGATTTTCTGGTTTCCTAAACCGGCTTTGTTAAAAACTGTGTATTTCTGTATTCCTGACCTTGATTTATTCTTGACCTTGTTTCTCGCTATATTAATTAATAGTTAAGTCCAGCCATTCTAAGGCTTGGTAATACGTCATTTGGATTCAACTTTTGTGGGTTTCCTCTTTCCTATGACTTCATTGACAAATAATAATAAAAAGATTGTAATGTTGCCACCTAATGGTTAATATCAGATTTACCAACAGATAAAGTAATGCAAATTACAAAGGCCTTACATAAATAATTTTAAATCAGAATTGGAAATGATCACAATCTGGTAGATTTTTTTTTTTTCAAAATGATCTATCTATAAAATTCCCATATACTTTTACAGTGAGCTTACAGCTAAAAAGACATACCTAACCATCAAGACCTTCTGCAATATCACTAATAAAAATATTAAAGAGAATGTGTCCAAGTACAGATCTGTACTTGGACCCATTCTCTTTGATATTTTTATTAGTGATATTGCAGAAGGTCTTGATTGTAAGGTATGTCTTTTTGCTGATGATACTAAGATATGCAACAGGGTTGATGTTCCAGGAGGGATAAGTCAAATGGCAAATGATTTAGGTAAACTAGAAAAATGGTCAGAATTGTGGCAACTGACATTTTATGTGGATAAGTGCAAGATAATGCATCTTGGACGTAAAAACCCAAGGGCAGAGTACAGAATATTTGATAGAGTCCTAACCTCAACATATGAGGAAAGGGATTTAGGGGTGATTATTTCTGGTGACTTAAAGGTAGGCAGACAATGTAACAGAGCAGCAGGAAATGCTAGCAGAATGCTTGGTTGTATAGGGAGAGGTATTAGCAGTAGAAAGAGGGAAGTGCTCATGCCATTGTACAGAACACTGGTGAGACCTCACTTGGAGTATTGTACGCAGTACTGGAGACCGTATTTCCCGAAGGATATTGATACTTTAGAAAGGATATCAATATCCTTCGGGAAATACGGTCTCCAGTACTGTGTACAATACTTCAAGTGAGGTCTCACCAGTGTTCTGTACAATGGCATGAGTTCAGAGAAGGGCTACTTAACTGGTTCATGGATTGCAGGTTAAAAGAACTTAACAAGTATAGCTTGGAGGAAAGACGAGACAGGGGGGATATGATAGAAACATTTAAATACATAAAGGGAATCAACACAGTAAAGGAGGAGACTATATTTAAAAGACGAAAAACTACCACAACAAGAGGACATAGTCTTAAATTAGAGGGGCAAAGGTTTAAAAATAATATCCAGAAGTATTACTTCACTGAGAGGGTAGTGGATGCATGGAATAGCCTTCCAGCTGAAGTGATAGAGGTTAACACAGTAAAGGAGTTTAAGCATGCGTGGGGTAGGCATAAGGCTATCCTAACTATAAGATAAGGTCAGGGACTAATGAAAGTATTTAAAAAATTGGGCAGACTAGATGGGTTGATCACATTCTATGTTTCTATGAGTTCAGTAGATAGATAATTTGAAAAGTTTTTTGTTTTTTTTAATAGAATTTTATAATTTCTGGGGGCGTGGCTTGGTCACCGGAGTGAATGGCCGCATGAGAGCTGAGCTCCGTCCAGAACAGGCCTCATAAGCAGCATCCCCGGCAGCTAAGGCGACATGGCAGCAAAAAAACCACGAGCACAGGCGACCACTACCCCAGCGGTACCACCTACCTCGTCTAAAACATCCCTCCGACGGTATTTCGGAGAAAAACCGGAGATGGAGATCAAATCCAAGATGGCGGCGACGGAGAACTCTCCCGCGCACAGTGCACCATCCAGCCCTGCACCCTCAGAAAACTCATTAGAGGGCAACAACCTAAAAACCCTACTCTCACAATTGCCATCTAAACTAGACTTGGAACTGATGTTTTCCAAGATGGAGAGGAGCTTTGGGGACAAACTACAATCGCTCCACGAAGAGGTAAGCCAAATAGGCCACAGGGTACAAACACTAGAAGAGGAAGGGGAAGCAAGTGCCCTGCATCTCACAAATATACAATCCCTCCAGCAAACCCACAATGAAGCCATCCTATTCTTACAAAGGAAATTAGAGGATTTGGACAATAGAGGCAGGAGAAACAATCTCAGGATAAGGGGTTTCCCTGAAACACAGGAGGGAGAGACAGAAGATATCATACTCCTACTCACTGGCCTCTTTAACAAAATATTGGGCAGACCTCTTGACACTGTCATTAAATTTGACCGCGCGCATAGAGCGCTTAGACCCCGGGCACTGCCCCAGGACAAACCGAGGGATATTATATGTAAAATCAATCCTGCAAAAAGCCAGGCGCCTCAGAGAAATCAAACATGACGAACATAAAGTGCTGATCTTTCAAGACTTGGCACAATCGACCCTCATAGCGAGGAGAGCACTCAGACCCATAACAGCAGCCCTTTCGGACATGAACATTAGATACAGATGGGCATATCCCTTCGCTCTTGTGGTCACTCAGCAAGGGACGACGTACTCTATCTCGACACCTGCGGAGGTCCAAGCCTTCCAGCAAGCTCTAAAACTACCAAAGGCCGCAGTGGAGGACTGGACTGGGCTAACATTGGGACAGGCATCACACACCTTTCGGAGAAATACATGGCAAAGAACCCCGAAAAAGCGTAGAAGGCGTATCCCATCGGGCAACGAACAGACCGCGTCCCCCAGATGCGCTACAAGCAGACCCGCCTGAGGGACCCAATATATCCTTTATTATGTTAAACAGACTTTTGAAGCACCTAGATGCTCTTTCTTATATAACTGAAAGTTGTATGCTGTTTGTCGCGACTTGCATATTGTTTACCATATTGTATATCTAAGCTGCCTTCTGCGCAGCCACCGCCTACACCCCTCCTGGGGTTCGGGCCCTGGCTGCGCGAAATCAGGGGATAGAAACCCACACTTCAAACCTTATTACGAGTTAACATAAGAAAACACAGGCCATACAATAAGAAATGCTTTTAGAATGATAAGTTTACAAACCAGATTACAGGCCAACGTTCTGGACAACCAAGACCCCGTAACCCCCTAGAGGTGTCGCAGAGAGCACGTAGGACTCACACAGAGCCTAGCGCGCTAGCCACCATCTGGTAGATGCATGTTACCCACATGCTCATTGTACATAACTTCCCAAGTTTACAACCCCTCATACATCCCCCAGACCCCCAAAGGTACAAGCGTAAGCATCACCACCCAGAGAAGACACGCCATCACTACCACCTGACCTCCAATGGCTGATCTCAAAATAATGTCCCTAAATGTTAGGGGACTTAATACCCCAGAGAATCGTACAGTACTAACCCAAGAAATAGACAGGCAATGGGCTGATGTCGTTTTCTTACAGGAAACGCATTTAAAGGGGGATCAAACCCCTAAACTAAGGGCAAAAACAATAGGACAAGCATTCTTCAGCAACTATCACGGGGGCAAAGCAAGAGGAGTAGCCATCCTAATATCACCACGCATAGTCTTCACCCCGAGTGAAATCAAAACAGACCACTTGGGAAGATACCTATTTATCACCGGCACACTGAATAACACATTGGTGACACTAGCAACTATATATGCCCCAAATACCAAACAAGTATCGTTTGTCAACTCATGTCTTAGGAAACTGCACAAATTTGCAAACGGGATACTAGTTTTAGGGGGAGACTGGAACATGGTTCTAGACCACTCTACAGACAGCTCCACAACCAGTAGAGACACACAGACACACAGACACACCAAAGGGCTCTGTTTCAGAGATCCCTCCATGCCCACAAGCTGATGGATTGCTGGAGAATATCTCACCCACAGGAGAGGGACTATAGCTATTATTCACAGGTGGCTCATAGTTATTCCAGATTGGATATGTTCTTTTTAGAACATAGGCACTTACACCTGATAAAGGAAGCATCAATTGGCCACATCACGTGGTCAGACCATGCCCCGGTGTTCCTCACACTATCCATTACAGGAACATACACACCCGCCAACAAGTGGCGGTTAAATGAATCGCTACTGGACGACCCGAGAGTGACTGATGACCTCACTTCCTCCCTACCTAGATACTTCCTAGAAAACAAAAACAAAGACAATAGCTAGAGCAGAAATGAAACATAAAACCGACCCCTCAGTGGAGGTGTATAACACGCTAACGGCATTGAGAATGGATCTACGCAATATCCTTACATTGCAGGCACACAGAGCAGTACTTCTAACCAGGGGTACATACTACGCACATGGTAATAGGAGTGGGAAGTTTCTGGCCAGAGCCCTAAAAGAAAAGCACCAAAAAACATACATATCCCACATAAAGGCGCAAGACAGTACACGTAAAGATAAAACCGAGGACATAGCCAAAATCTTCCGGGAATACTATAGTAACCTATATAACCTAGCACATCAAAGAGGCCCTTCCCATGACATTAAAACATACATCTCCTCCCATATCCAAAAAACCATAGACTCCCACCAGTCAACCATATTGGACTCCCACATCCAGCTGGAAGAATTGCAGCGAGCAATTAAAACACTTCCTAAGGGTAAAAGCCCGGGACCAGATGGCCTAACGGCCAGATATTACCAATCTTTCCAACACATCCTATCACCCCACTATCTAGAAGTACTTAACAATCTACTAACCACTACGGAACTACCACCCCCGATGCTGAAAGCATCGATAACAATGCTGCCAAAACCCGGCAAGGACCAGAGCTTATGTGGTAGTTATAGACCAATCTCCCTAATTAACCTTGATGTTAAATTGCTTGCAAAAATCCTTGCCAACCGACTCAAGACACTACTACCTGACCTGGTCCATACAGACCAAGCGGGTTTCATCCCCGGCAGGGAGGCGAGAGACAACACCACAAGAATTCTCAACCTCATACATGGTGCCTCTACCACCAGGGAACCAACAATACTCCTCTCGGTAGACGCCGAAAAGGCGTTCGACCGAGTAGATTGGACCTTCCTATTCACCACCCTGGAAACCATAGGAATCGGCCCGAATTACATACGATGGGTGAGAACACTATATAAAGGGCCATCAGCCACAATTGGAGTTAATGGGCAAGAATCTCCCCCCTTTGCCATAGGTAATGGCACAATACAAGGGTGCCCTCTGTCGCCACTGCTGAACGCCATCAGGGCAAATGCCAACATTAAAGGCATCAGGGCAGGAGAACAGGAAGTAAAAGTATCTGCTTTTGCAGATGACGTACTCCTAACACTCACTCACCCTGAGCGATCCCTCCCGCATCTTCAGAGCGAAATAGAACACTTCAGCACATACTCAAATTTCAAAATAAACGCTGATAAGTGCGAACTAATGGGCATAAACTTAAAACTGACCCAACTCAAACACATAAGCCACAACTACCCCTATCGATGGGCAAACACAGGCCTCACATATTTAGGCATCAAACTCGCACCTACAACGACAAGCCTCTATAGAATGAACTACATTCCCCTATTGGCTAACATTAAATCACAACTCAAACACTGGGACAAACCCCACTTCTCCCTTTTTGGAAGAGTCAACATCATTAAGATGATGATACTGCCAAAAATTCTATATACATTTCAAACGCTCCCTATCAAGCTCGGACGCCAGTTCTTCCACACACTGAAAAACATCTTCCTTACGTTTGTTTGGGGAAATAAAAAATCCCGATTGGCATATGAAATACTCACACGGGAAAAAAAGAAAGGAGGTATAGGACTACCCCATATGTACAACTACTACATAGCAGTTCTCTTCACTAGAATAAGGGAATGGATAGATACAAAGCACAAAAAATAGTGGTACGACATAGAACAAATGTATGCACAGGCTCCTCTACCATCCCTCCCATGGCAAACATGCCAACTTCAGCAGCTGACCACCATGACACACCCCCTTATCCCCCACATCCTAAAGAAGTGGAGATCACACAAAAATGCATGGAAACTGTCACCGGGCATATCTCCATTATACCCATTAAACCATAACCCGGATATATTAGGAGGCAGAGGGGCAGATATTATAATAAAACTATTGGGAATACAAAACCCACAAATAGGAGACTTACTGACAGGAGATACACCCCCTAAACTCAAGCAGTTCCAAATTACGAGAGGCCACCGTTCGCTAATGGAAGCAATGAGATACTCACAACTGAGACACTCTATTACCCAAGCAGTACTACCAAATTGGACCCCAAGAGGTTTAACACCCTTTGAGCAATTATGCACGACCACACAGCCGATAAAACGCACCCTATCACAAATTTATAAACTCATCCAAACTAACGACAATGCGCAGGAGACCCTAGCATATCAACGTAAATGGATGAAGGAACTTCACATACACATGACACACCAGGACTGGGCATATGTCTTCACAAAACCCATGCACACTTCCAGTAGCCTATAAAGACAAGAGTCTTTCTATAAGCGCATTACTAGGTGGTATAGAACTCCGGAGGTACTCCATTTATATTGGCACACAATTAGTGAACAATGCTGGAGATGCGGGGGAGAAGTGGGCAGTATGGGACATCTGTGGTGGTTTTGCCCACTTATAAGAACTTACTGGGCAGAAGTAATATCCAAGATCGATGAAATCTTAAAGATACCACACTCCCTAACCCCCTCCCAGGTTCTACTAGGCTGGCCACACTCCTTTCACTGTATGAAGAGCCAACGCCTACTATGGCTCCTTCTGGGAGAAGCAAACAACCTTATACCAGTCCACTGGAAACAAAATGTACCACCCACAGCCAAACAATGGATAGAAAGGGTAGAGCACATGAGAGAAATGGAAATGCTACACTGGTCCACAATAGGCAAATACACTACCTACCTAACCATATGGGAACCCTGGCTAAAACATTGGGCACTAGTACGGAATAAATCATAATAGACGTAAAAGTAATAACAATAAAAGACACCTTGTACCT